GTGCGTACGGTCCTCGGTGCTGCCGCAACGTACAAGAAATGCGACAACTTGTTCGAGAAGCTTCATGATGCTCGTATCAAAGAAGGGCTTGGCGACAATCCATGGGCTCCATTTGAGTGCGAAGATGAATGGAAGCTCGCACGCTTCCTGTTGATGAGCGGAATGAGTCACGGAGACATTGACAAGTATTTGAAGCTGAATATTGTGCGTACCTCTATTTGCAACTTGCTTAATTTTGGTGTTGATGCCAGAGAACGGAAGACTCGCTCTCGCACTTCGCTCTCGTTCACGAACAAACGCCAGTTCTTGAAGAAAATTGACCAGCTTCCCCGAGGGCCAAAGTGGGAGTGTGAGCTTTGGGAAGTGGAGGGCGACTTGTTAGATGCGAACGGGCAAAAGCAGAAGGAGGTGATGGAGCTTTGGCAAAGGGACCCTGTTGAATGTATCAAGGACCTTCTCAGCAATCCAGCATTCAACCACTGTGTCGAATACGAACCAAAACGGCTATTTGAAGATGCGTACGCTGAGAAGCCTATTATAAGTGAAATGTGGACAGCCAAATGGTGGGAAGATCCAAGTACGTACTATCTTTTGAAACCGTACGATGCTCTGAACAAGCTTGTAGAAAATCCTCCCACCAGGGGCTACAGTTGCCCCTGTCATTCTTGCCTCCGATAAGACACAGCTGTCGACGTTCAGTGGAGACAAGTCAGCCTGGCCTGTCTACCTCAGTATCGGGAACATTGCAAAGGCAGTACGCCGCTCATCGTCTGCTCATGCCACCGTTCTTATCGGCTATCTTCCCGTGACTAAACTCGAGTGCTTTTCGGAGGAGCAGCGCGCTCAAAAGCGATATCAACTCTTCCACAAATGTATGCGCTCGCTACTTGCACCACTTGTGGAAGCCGGGTGCAAGGTGTAGAAGGGTTTTCAGCGCCAACACCAAGAACTTACATTTACCTTCACTTTCCGTACACATAGACCTCCGGCCGAGAGCACGGCAGCGGAGCAGCGCTCGCATGTATATTAAAGGCGACCTCCCGCCGTCGAATGGAGCAAGCTCCCCTTTCCCCCACCTTCACCTCTAAAGTCTGCCCCTCTGAGCTTCGGGCACATCCTAAGAGCATCGAGAATACACTCGCGAGAGCGCGAGACGAGGTTCGCCCGCGACGAGCGCGGGCACGAGCATTTAAGTAAGAGTTTTATTAGATCGTTCATCGAGCTTAGTTACGCGTTTAGATATCGAGTTTAGTCATCGGCCGTTCCCTCCCCACACGTAAAGCCCCGCATATATCGAGCGCCGACCCGTACGTAGAATCCTCCTCCACAAAGGGTGTCGATGTTGAATGCGGCGATGGATTTGTTCGCAAAGTATTCCCTATTCTGGCAGCATACATTGCGGACCATCCAGAGCAATGTCTCATCGCTTGCTGCCAGGAGAACTTTTGCCCACAGTGTCTCGTAGACCCAAAGAGGCGCGGAGAACCGGTTCAGTCCACCTGTTGCAATATGTCAGCTTCGTTGTCTATGATCCGAAAGGCATTAAACGGTGACAAACCTGCTGAATTCAAGACTTCAGGCCTTTGTCCCGTTCTTCCCTTGTGGGCGGACTTGCCCCACTGCGGCATCTTCACTTGCTTCACTCCGGACATCCTCCACCAACTACACAAGGGCATGTTTAAAGATCACACGGTGAAATGGGCAACCGAATGCGTTGAGGGCGGAGAAGACGAAGTCGACCGGCGGTTTCGGACGATGTCCCCACATGGTGATCTGCGCTACTTCAAGAAGGGAATCTCGCTGATCTCACAGTGGACCGGAAACGAATACAAGCACATGGAAAAGGTTTTCGTTGGTGTGCTTGCAGGTTCTGTCGAAGACGAAAGGGTTCTTCTTGCGGTTCGTGCGCTGCTTGACTTCATTTACTATGCGCACTTTGAGGTTCACACGAGTGAATCACTTGCACATCTCAAAACAGCTTGGCGTACCTTCCACCACAACAAGCAAGTCTTCCTCGATCTCGGTGTCCGCAAAAACTTCAACTTCGCGAAGCTACACTCGTTGGGCCACTATCTCCCTGCGATCTTCTGCCTTGGCTCTGCTGATGGCTATAACACAGAGGGCCCTGAACGATTGCACATCGACTTCGCCAAGCTTGGATATCGCGCAAGCAACAGGAAGCGGTACATTCAACAGATGACTAGGTGGTTGGAGCGCCGTGAAGCTGCCAGCCGTTTTGAAGCTTATCTTGAGTGGCGTAAGGTGCTACCAGTGCAGGAAGAACTGGTGGACGAGGATGAGGATGATGAAGGCGAGGACGAGGAAGACGACAGCACCACG